TCTGGTAATTTTCCAGTTAAGTTTTTTAAATTATTGAACAGTAGAACAAAAAGCCTGACCTTTGAGAGGTCACCTCTTCTAACTCAGGGAACTTCAATGCAAGGCAAAAGCTAGAATATCTTGTTTGGCCAAAGAATAAGAAAGAAAGACAGAATAAAGGGTGTGGGCAGGACGAAGAATGATCGGAGAGTCTATGGTCCTCATCAGATTGTGGTGAATCTGGCAGTGCCCATTAGGGGCAGTGGGGAACTTGTTGCCCCATGCCTCGCATTGCCAGACTTACACAAAACCCTATACCATGGAGGGAAGCATCTGCTGCATGGCTTCCCCCCATTGTCGCTAGTGCAACATGGGAAGCATATGCCAGTTCCACTGTAGTTTAGCGAAGGAGTCCTGCAGGAAGTAGCTGTATGTCATGTGATGGGAGCTGGTGAGTTCTGTGGCTAAACTACAGTGAAACCGGCATATGCTGCCAAAAACAACTCCGTCTGATGAGGTCATATATGGGAGAGAATGCTTACTAGACTAGTAGAAAGGAGCATGGTGAGAAATGAGAGGGAGGATACAGTTCAGTATATATGACCTGGTTGAAGCTGAAAGGAACAGAACTTTTTTATTAGACCGATTAAAGCCGTGGTGCAGCATAGTACAGTCATCTATACAACAGTGGTTCTAAGCCCCTAGATATTCTGATTTCCACAAATCCCAATCAATAACTAAGGATTCTGGAAGTTGAAGTCCAAAATTTCTGGCAGGATATAGGTTGGATATCATTTGAAATTACTCATAAATACATAATAACTAGGCCTGGGTAACAACGGAAAAATTTGTTTCTAAAATCGATTTGTATTTGGGGGTTTTTTTTGTTTTGATATTTAAAATAATTACAAAATTTTCCTTTTAAAAAGTTCGATATTTACGAAATTTCGTAAATGGTAAAAAATTAACGAATCGATTTCCGAAACAATAACGAATCGATTCGTTAATGGCAGACGCAACCGCGAAATACGCTAAAAAACCTCCAAAACCTTCTGAAGCTTCCCTCTCCCTCTGTTGTTGACTGTTGGTGTGATATTATAATTTTTTTTCACTAATTAAACCATAAAACTGGCCCAGACATGCGGAAATAATAACGAAACGACCTCAAAACAATAACGAAACGAATACAATATCGAAATACGAAGCATTTACAAAACGTTTTTGAAAATTCGTTTTTTTTAATAATTGCTCCAGAATGGTTCGTTATCGTTTTGTAATTGAAAAAATTAACAAATTATTAACGAATTACGAATTAACGAAACGAAACCGCCCAGCCCTAATAATAACGTAAGGATATGATGTATACATGTCTGTGGGGAAGTGATCTGTGTTGGCCTTATTTGAAAGTGGTTTTATTACTGGAATTTCAAACAAGCAACACCAAATACTGGAAATTTCTTTATTTCTTATACTCACTAGAAATGTAACTAGAGCCATGTCATGAGCAACCCAACCCTGCTCTTCATTTATTCTTTTCTCTGCAACTTTCCATTCTTTTGACCACAACTCCCAGTGTATGATTCATCTCTCACAAGAGCAGGTGGAAAAATACATAAAATCATGCACAGATTAATCTAAACTGGGCAACTTGGATGCAGGGATGGTCCGGCTAACCAGAAGCCCTTCCCAAGTTCTCTTTCTGGGGTTGGCAAAACACCGTGAAGCTATCTTCATTTATCTCTGTTTGGACAACTCACTATTTAATACTGATTTTTTAAAAGTAAGCCAACTGTATCTCTACTCCATGAAGATTTCTCTGGGTCAACCTGCTCTCATTTAATCCCAAGGTCATAGAGCCTTCCAACACACTCCCTCTCGGCTTTCTGGGCACAAAAAACCCCTAATAAAACCAGTGGAGTTAATTTAATTCTGCCTGCCAACCTTTAAATAAATGATTATATAAAACTAAAAATTACTGAGAATTAGAGTAAGGGACTATTGGGCAACTAAAAGTTGTGGTTCCATCTCAGTCTTCAGCTTTAGTCTACCCATCAAAATTAGCTGACGACAAATGGTGTCTACAGAAGACAAATCAGAAGTCAGGGAAATTTCTTCTTTCTTTTGAATATTTTTACTTCTTTAGGTAAAGCTTCTGCAATCAAAGCATGGATTATTACCACCTTTATGGTGTATGTCTGGCTGTTTGCTCCACGAGCCATATCTAGTTGGCCTAAATCCAAAAAAGGAACAGACACAGAGCCCTGTATTCATTTTCATTCATATCCAAAATTTAGCTGGCAGGAAAAAAATAAACCATTGACAATAATCTGATTTTTTTCCACTGTAGTCTGTGGACAAATGACTCCTTCTATTGGCTTGCTATAAATGTTGGCACTCTGCAACTCTAGAGGCAAGAGGTTGGATCAAAAATGATGTTTATGACACACTGTGAAGATAAGGAAGCTCACCTCATACTCTTACGTTTCTGGATTTAAACAACCCTAAGTTGTATCATAATAATACAAAGCCTCTGCAGGCATATTGCTTAGCTATTACATAGCTGCAAAATGAAGCATCAGTTACTTAAATTTGGGAGGTGGTTCATTCCTTACCAAAAACACATTGTGCCTCATGCTGATCAGTGGGGGATAAACTCATACATATGAAATTATCCTCTGCACCAACCATAGAAGTAGGAAGCAATGAGTTCTAAGTAACAACAAAGTTACTCCTAATGAGTCACCTTTTGTGTGTGTTTGTGTTGACAGCTTACTGAAGTCACATTTCATGCCCTCATTTTTTTAATGGAAAGTAACACTAAAGGTAGAGTTATTATTTAAACATTAGAATGAGTGATCACAAAGATTTGCTTTTTAAATAAACAATAGGAACACATTCCTTTTTTAAAAAGTACTCTACATATGGGTTCTTATGATGTTACTGTTCAGATCAGGGCTCAGGGTGGTGTTACATTAATTAATAATCCGCTCATCATTAACTCACAACATATGAAACTGTGGTGACTTGCAGAAAGGGGCCAATTTCTTCCCCTAATGTAAGTTCTGTATTGATTTGTACAATGCCCTATACAGTTCCTCTTCCTTACATTCCAGCTCATAGCCAGCAGCTCAGATATTAAGCATTTCATACAGTTCCCTACTCTCACCACTGAAGGGGACTATAATAGAAGGGCTGAGGTGTTGAATCTCACTGGCCCCATCTACATCACCATATAATCCAATTTCTGAATGCAGATTAACTGCATTAAACTGGATTATATGGCAGTGTAGACTCATATAATCTAATTCAAATTAGTTAACCTGCATTCTGAAACTGGATTATATGGCAGTGTAGATCCAGCCGCTGGAAATGGGTTGTCCCACTTGAACTACCTTACTCATTCGCTTAGGCCAAACTGATGCTGCAAGATGGAACTGCCCCCCCCCCGCCCCCAAGCAAAATTGCTTCTTAGCAGGGAGTTGGACTGGATGGCTGACAAGGTCTCTTCCAGCTCTATGATTCTATGAAAACATCCACTCAGCCTGAATCAGGCTGATCCTTTTGTACTGCATAATAATATCAGTTTGACACCATTTTAACAGCCTTGGTTTCATCAGGTACCATTATACTAAATTTGTAGTCTGATGAGTTAACAGAGTTCTCTGGCAGAATAATTATGTGGACTTTATCATACCAACTTTGCTGTTTTGCAAGTGTAAAGAAAACTTGCCAGCTCTAGGGATTCAATATCACACCTCTCTGCATTAACACAATGGTGCTCCTTTGCAAACCGTAGTTCCATGATCTGTCTTCTGCACAGCCTTCATAATGCTGCCTTCCTGCCTTGTATCCTACCCAGAATGACTTTCAGTTTTTATGATTTTTTAAAATTTGTATTTTAATGCAATTGGGGAGGGGGGAAACAACCTGCTTTGGAAAAGTGAAAAGGAAGAGAGAGGGGCGGGGGAGGAAGAGGGAGGAGGAGGAGAATGATACCTACTGATGCTACATCTGAACAAAAGCAGAATGAACTTATCACACTGAAGTAATGGGAAGGTAGCAGAAACAAGAGCCATTGATTATTGTGGCAATGGAGGGCAGGCAAAGCAGTAGCAAGCAGATATCAAGAAACATGGAATGACTGTGGCTCATAGAGAGAGAGAGAGAGAGAGAGAGAGAGAGATTGTTCATCACGACTAATATCAAGTAACTTTAGTGACCATAGGCCCATCTACACTAGTTGCTTATTGCTGGCTCACTTCAGATCAGAAACCACACATTACATATGCAACCTATAGCTATGGTGAGGCAAGGACCAGATGGTGCAGCCAGTGATGGCCACAGAGTTCTGGGGAAGCTGCCGGCCATCTCAAATGCTCTGTGGTGTGTCTCACGGGAGTCTCTGCTGGTGTCAGCATGGGGTGTCTGCTATGGCTAAGAGCTCTCCTAGAGTTCTGCAGCTGTCAAGCAGTGGTGTTGGCAACACAGGCCCAATGTGTGCCCTTTTCCCTGAGTTGACGAGCAGCCCATGCCCACATCAGAACCTTTGCTATCCACATTGTGCCCAAACTTCAGAGGTGTTCACAATTTCAGACACTCTGGAGTATTCCCTGTCTTTCCTTAACACAGGGCTAAAATGGATTAACCCACAATTAAGGACCACCGTTAGTGCAGTTGATTCAGCTCATGTAGACAAGCCCCAATCATACACTAAGGGTCCTTTTGGTGGCTGGTCCCACACTCTCAAACTCCTTTCCAGAGAGGCTAGACTGCCCCCTTCCTGCCTCTGTATATCGTGTGATTTGGCAAGCCTTTGGGACATGACTGCTCAAAGAGAAAGGGCCTTTTGGCATGTGTTCTACTGATTATTAGTCATTTTCTTATTAATTATAATGTTTTCAACTTTTAAGGCAGGAGAGACTAACTTTTACAAACCATGTTGCTGGCTTCCTGGGATCTCCAGGCTCAGAAGGTGTCAGAGAATATGCTTTTCAACCTGAAATGAAAAGTTGAAACCTTACCCAAATTGCAGGATAGGCAACCATCTGCACAAGGAATACAGTCTTCTAAATCAAGGTCCTCTGCTTCACCTGCACATTGAACAGTTCAAGTTGTAATTTAATTCATCCCAAAGCAATAGGCAATAAATATGGATTTCACTTTTTATTCGAAATGTGGAAAAATGGCCAAGTATCACTTCTCTGCACCTGATACTAATTTGTAGCTGGCATTTTTCTGTCCAATGATTCCTTGTTTTTTTCTGAAAAACTGGAGGACAGCTTTGTGTCTTTGGTTCATTTGTTTGTTTTTTAACAGAAAACCTTGTTTGATTCCTCTCTGTATACTTCTGCCTGCCTAACCTACTTAGCTGATATGGCAATATCAATTATCCTGACAACAAATGCCCAGGAATGGTATGGAAATATTTTCATCCCTCTCTCATTATCTTTGTAAAGTTGTCCCAAGAAGAGCAGGAGAGCTGCTGATGTCCTGCCACCCAACATCCATGCCCTAAATCTTTTTTGGTGTAAGATCAGCATGACTGTGAGTATATACAATTGTGTGAAACATTGTTTGCATGGTTCCCTTTCTTCAAGAGTTCCTGCAAGTGATATTGGGGGGATTTCTTCAGTTCAATATTAGGAGTAATGCCAGTAGTATGGGCCTGCTGATTTCATGTGAAGGGCCACATGATCCCTATCTTTCCTCCAGAAAAAGAGAGACACTACCTTCACATAACTGCCCACCGGAAGAGAGTTGCCATCATAAAAAGTCAGCAGGCCCTCACCATTGGTGGGGATCTATTTCATTGTGTCATTACGTCTGATTAGCTCAAAAAATTGCACAACTTCTCGAAATAGGTTTGTAATAATTCCTTCAAATGGTTTGTCAAGTGTTCCTTTTCATAAATGATATCCTTTATCTGAAAGACAGAAACTTCTCCCTTATATAGCTGGCAGGTGACCTTCATTGTAAACATTTCTCTCTCATCTTAGCTTTGTGGTGTTTTTCTTTTTATATAGACTGGACAAGAAGCCAAAAAATCCTATATTTTTTGATGTGGACTCTTCATAGGAATAGAAATGGGTGCATTACGTAGTTCACAGATGGAGAAAATATGTTAATTTTATAGAACAATACATGGCTAAGTAGTCAATATTTGGTATTTAAGCAGAACACAGGCATGTTAATACAGGCTTCCTATTTGTCAATCCTACATGTCATGAATTTTGACTGTCCCTTATTGTTGTTTAGAAAACATGGCAGCACTACTTTTTAGTGTAATTTGCAATAATTTTATTTAATTTTACATTATTTTATTTTATTTTATTATGGGGTATGGTAATAGGCTTACAAATAATTCTCAGCCACCTGAAATGCTCATATTTCAGTAAAGAGCAATGATTACCCTCCTCCCCATGGCTCCATGTTCAACTCCTGGCATTGGAACTAGTTTAGATGTTCTGTGAAAATAAGGCTTCTCCATATTAATGCAGTCACTGCACTGTCTGCTCCCGTCACCACTATTTCACCACCATTATATTTTGCATCTGGAGCTTTATGCAATGTAGATGTGGTCAGGTGCCTGGCTAAGATTTACTACATTCAATAAGCAAGTTTCAAATTCTAGGCAAGGGGGAGGGATTGATTTCACAGCAAAATGTTTGTATATAGACCTGCAATAAAAACGTCTGTTTAGATCCTCTGCCATACCCCATGACATGCTTTTATGGGATACTGAGAGAGTAAATCTGCCTTGGTCCAATCCCATTCTGATTTTGCATGAGCCAAAACAGTTTATTTGTATTTGCAGCTCCAAGCACCAGTAACTGACAGTGCCACATTTTAGGGATGTAAGCAAGTCACTGAACTAATGGTTTGTTTTATTTCCTTTCGCTCTCCTCTGGAGGTCAGATTGTTTAAAAAGCGTGCCTGCATTCTCAAGACACCGAGGACATGACTTCCTGTCAGCAGTCTTGTACGTTCATAGAAATGCTGGACAGCATTGCAAAGAGTATATAAATATTGATGTGTTTGTATGGCCTTAAAACGAACCTCTACATTTAAAATCAAATTCAGTTTAACTGCAGCAGCAATGCCCTCGTGAGCAATTGCGGTTGCCGCTCGATGCCCACTAACCCGAGCGGAAGCCCACAAAACTCAATTCAGTTTTCTCCTGCGTTGACACATAAAGGATTACCCAATTAATGTTCACCACACAATATCAACTATTTTTCAAGGACATAAAGTTGAGACCTTGCATGTATTACTTTTTAACCTATTGTTTTGGCTTTTTTTTTAATACACTGCAATTATGAGCAGAGAGATTAGGACTGAAAAACTGTGGGTCAGGGAAAAAGTATTTCATGGTGTATTGTTAAATGATGTTTATATTTTAAATTGTTTTTAGAGGGCAAATAGCTTTTAAACTGTTATTTATTAATGTTTTATTAGTACGTAATTTTAATTTTAATTTTATGTAGTGATAATTGTTTACTGTTGTAATTTGTTTATTGTTTATATTATTTTCTGTATCTGTGAATTGTTGTAAGCTGTCCCGAGTCCCTTTGGGGAAAGGGGGTGGGGTATAAATAAAGATGATGATGATGATGATGATGATGATGGTTACATGTTCAACAATTTTTTTTTTACATAAAGCAGAATTCTGGGGTTTGTAGTTTAGGGCTTTTAACAGCCTCACTAAACCACAAACCCCAGAATTCTGCATGAGGGCAGAAACTGGATTTTAAGTGGATTTTTTCTCTAGTGTGATGAAGTAGCATATCTTTGCAAATAGGTTCCAGAATATTTAAAGTTAGATTTCCCTGGTTTCTGATAGGACATTAGGGAAGTAATACTAAGTCAACCTTCTCCAAGCAAGGGCCCTCCAGATGTTTTGGACTCCAAATCCCAGTATCTCTGACACTGACTATGGTGACTAAGGCTGATGGGATTTGCAATCCATCACATTTTGAGTGCACCAGATTGGGAAAGGTTGCTCTAAAGTTTTTCTTCATCCAATAACCCAGCTCTGTGCTGCCACCTCTTGGTCAGTTTTATTGAAGGAAGACACATTTTAGGAGAAAGGCATTCTTTTGGTATGCTCCATACTGCCTGAGTATGGAATGGGGCCCCTCTCGTACTCCACCCCTATGCATTACTTGATTAAAGACCAAATTTCTCTTTAAACTGCAATCTTATACCCACTTACAAGTGAATCCCACTGAATTCAGTTAGCTGTGTTTGTACCCTTACAGGAATGTGTCATTAGTCACTATATCCAGTCTATCTGCTTTGAACTGGATTATATGGCAGATTCATATAATCCAGTTCAAAGCAGATAATGTGGATTATATGCTTTGATAATCTGCATTATATGGCAGTGTTGAAGGGGGCTGAGAGATATAGTTCCCAGGGTTTTTTTAAAAATAATGCTTGCCATCACTGATGTGTGGTGGGGATATGACAAAGATGCTATATTGGTAAACCTACATGCTTTTTGGTTGGTCAACATGCAGTTTGTTTGTTTTTTTGTTTGTTTGTTTTGACATATCAGGAGTGACTACAGAAACTGCAAGCCACTTCTGGTGTGAAAGAATTGGCCATCTGCAAGGATGTTGCCTAGGGGACACCTGAATGTTTTGATGTTTTTCCATCCTTGTGGCTGATAGAGGGAGCTCATCCATGCTCTCCCACATTCGAACCTGCAACCTGTTGGTCTTCAGTCCTGCTGGCACAGGGGTTTAACCCACTACGCCACCAGAGCTGTATGCACTACAATATATTGAGCAATTTGCTGAAGATCTATGAACATTCTGTTGTGTTTTTTTACCTTTACTACAATTGTCCTTCTGACAGGTGTTATCAAGCAGGTAGTATCCTTCAAAGCATCTCTCACACTCGGTCTGATCGAGGCACACTTCGCAGTGCTCAAAGCAAGGCATGCAAGTCCTGTCCTTCTCTGAAGGATAATGGCCCTCAGGGCAGCTCTCTTTGCATTCTCCCAGATACAGGAAAAGTGTATTCCCTTGCTCATCTGTAAGAGAGAAAGAAAGATAAAAGGAAATGAAAAGTATGCTAGAAGAATCTTTAAGGCCTGGGACTTATACCTTCCTATACCTGATTATCTACAGAATGACTCCTGTATCAGTGAAACCAATTTGAGCAGTTTCTCTTATTCCTTTAGAGCCCCATGTACAAGCTATACCCTCTTCTTAGTACCTCTATTATTTTGCCATTGAAAATAATAGGTTTCACTGTTATCCACAGTTTCTACCATCCACACCAAGTCGAAGAACGTATCTCTTGTACTGTACTTATCTAATCATTGTGAGACACTTGTAGGCTAGCTTTTTCAAAGTTTTCCAGTTTCTAATAAGAAATCTCAAGATTCAAAGAACTCACCAAGATTGCACTGTACATAATTTAAAAATCCCAAGAAACAGGAATTTTTAAAAACAAATGAAGAGATGGTCAGCTTTTTCCTGCTTCTGGAGTGCTTTTCTGGAGTGGCAACTCTCACTGAGTTCACAATATATATACTCCTGCTTTGAGGAAAACCTTTCAGTAAAAATCAATGCAAAATGTCTTCCTAGCTGGCTTACTCTCTTGATGGTTCCTGTAAGCTGCATCTATCCATCAGTTAAGAAGTGAAACAAGGCTCCTCCTGCCCCTAATAGGCATGTGCACGGATCTGTTTTAGCTATTTTCCTTCAGCCAATCTGGCTTCTTTGGCTTGGCCTGGTGGCTGTAATGGCAAGGGCCTAGTCTTCACGGATTTCCATCTGCAATGGGACCATGTGGCCGCTCATCATGGCTCTTTCCGGGAGCATGTGATGGACAAAGGCTTAATGGCTTTCCCTGACTTGGCCTCTTTTGAATCTTTTTAAATTTCCTCTATTTTCTAGATTCTTTCATTAGTGGGACTGACTGGGAGTTATGAACAAGCAGGACGGGGTGCACGCAAGCATTTGGGGGTTTGGTTAGTGATCCTTTTAGCGTATTTTTCTCCTCCCCTCCTCTTCTTGAGAAAATACTTCTAAAAGATCATCCTTATTCATAGTATTATTAATATTATTATTAATAGTAATCCCAGCAAACAAAAAGAAAAGCCTCATTCTCAGAAAACTACTACCAGCTAGGGTGGTTACCCCAGTTATCCAGGATCATTTCCGTTTTAAAAATGCGGATATTCCTGGGGGGTCTGTCCATACCCACCCCAGAAAGCATGCACTTTCTGGGGTGGGTGTCCAGATACTCTTATGGTGCTGGTCTGTGAGACCATCTTGAAGCCCTACCCCCTCCCCCAAAGCCCCCAAACCCCTTTGAACAGTAAAGAAAACTTACCTGGCCTCCAGTACACTCTTGCAGCAGATCTCCTGGCATGTAGAAATTACATAGGAAAATAATCACTCCCTCCCTCCCCACGCTCTCCTGGTGCATCATTTCTATATGCCGGGATAGGTGCTGCAAGAGTGTACTGGAGGCCGGGTAAGTTTTCTTTACTGTTCAAAGGGATTTGGGGGCCTTGGGGGAGGGAGTTGGGTATTCCTGGTTTGTAGAGAATTAATTTGGGATTGCCCAGGATGTCATCTGGACAGCCCCTTCTTTATTGCGGGAGTTACCGCAATAAAGGGGCTGTCTTGATGCATCCCTAGTTAGCTTTCCTCTAGAGTAGAAAGTAGAAAGAGCTTTAAGGAAGCATTAAACCTGAAGCAGAAAGATGTGAGGGGAAGGGACAGGCGGGGTCTTGCAGTGCAAATCAAGAGAAAAGTGAGGGCTTTTGAAAGGAAGCCCAGGGAGATAGCTCCAGCTTGATCACTATTTCTTCCCTGAGAAGTAGGAAGCCTCCTTTAATGCATTGGATGGAAAGCTGCCAGGATCCCAGGAATGGAAAGGGTTTGGGTTGTAAGTTCCTCATTGCCACCAATGGTCCAGATCTAGCTATTTTTTGGCTATGGAACAAAAACAGCTATTCACTACCCTCCCGTTTTTGGGAAGCATGTAAAAATGGATATGGGGGTCTACCAGAATCCAGCCAACCCTTAAAAAACTAAGAAAAACTTATGTGCCCCCCATTTGAAGCCATTTCTACGGACCAGGAGAGCATGCTGAGGCTTCAAATGGAGGGCATGTAATTTTTTTCTTAGTTTTCTAAGGGGTCTGAGGGCAAGAGGGTGGGTATTCCCACAGTTTACTGGGCTTATTTAGCCCAGTAAATTGTGGAAATACTGTCTGGATTGTGGCATTCTGCAGTCCAGATCTGGAAATACTGCATTTATCCTGCATCTTCTTGGAAGGCGCAGAATAAATGCACTATCAAATTAATTTGCTACAAACCAGGGTTTTCCTGGTTTGTAGTGAATTAATTCAGGACTGTCCAGAACAGGCATGTAGCCAGGGGAGGGGGAGCTTGAGGGGCTTCAGCCCCCCCCCCGAAATTCTCATGGTGGTCCGCGAGAAGGCCTTACTGGTACATTATTTAAACTGTTATGTTTATTCATATCGTGATCTGATCACCATGCTCAATATATCCCATATGCATGGGGTATTGGGGTAATGATACAAAAGGTTTGCTAGGGTAGACCCTCTTTCACTCAGACTCAGCCCCCCCCCCCGAATCAAACTCAGCTCCCCCCCGAATCGAAATCCTGGCTACAGGCCTGGTCCAGAATGTTGTCTGGACAGCCCCTCTTTTATTGCAGGAGTTCTCACAATAAAGGCCCTCTCTGGATGGGCCCAGAGTGATTCCTGGTCTTTCAACCTCTTTATATCACATTTCTCCAAATATATACTTCTTGGATATGGGAATTGAACTCACCCTTAGGCTGGATCTACACTTCCCTGTATCCCAGAATTTGATCCCAAATTATCTGCTTTGAACTGGATTATATGAGTTTACACTGCCAGATAATCTGAGATCAGATCCTGGGATATAGGACAGTTTAGGCCCAGCCCCAGAGATATCTGCTGTGTGCTCCTCATTCAGTATAGTCTGCTCCACTCTGTCAAAACAAAAAAAAAACCCCTCAAGTTCCATAATATGCCGAAGAGTAGATACTGGCACTTGCTGGCCACATCCTCTGGCAAGAACAGAAACATACCATAGCTGTTGCAGGTGACTGCAGGTGCTCCTCCACTATCCATATTCAGTAATCTTAAGTAAGCAATAAAATAGAACTTTGGGCTTTCTACTCAAACTCCCCCAGTATACTTCCATGTGAAACGTTTTGGCCTTGCTGCCTGTTAGTTGGGCAACTCTTCACAAGCTGCAGTTATATAAAGAGCTAGTGACTGCTAGTTCCTCCTCTGAAGAAGTCTCTGACTTGCTTCCTCTAAGCAGAAGCCCCACACATTTGAGACCAGGTGCTCACACAGAGAACCTGGGCCTACACACAACTGAACAATCCACTGCTATCAAACACATAGCCAAGCCTCAACTCAGTTCAAACAATCAGTCTGAACCCAACAGACACCACAGCCTTAAGCCAACAAACTTTCCTAATGTATTATCCATGCTGGGTAATCATGGTAATCCCTCTATCAGCTCCAGCTCCTCATGCGGGGACATGAGAGAAGCCTCCCACAAGGATGATAAAACATCAAATCATCCAGGCGTCCCCTGGGCAACGTCCTTGCAGACTGCCAATTCTCTCACACCAGAAGCGACGCTCCTGACACGACAAAAAAAAATCCATGCTGGGGAGGTTTAACCCATCAGACACAAGCACACCTTGTACTGTCTCTTCCACCATGCCAATGCAAAATACTTGTTGACCTTGCTGTCTGTTAGCTGTCATTATAGCGAAAAAGAAAAGAAAAAGACCAGGACTTGAAAGAACAGCTATTAAGGAACTAGATAAGATCATGTGTGAAGATATACCATTATTCACAAAGTCAGGATCATTCATGCTATAGTATTTCTATTTTTATATATAGCTGTAAAAGCTGAACAGTGAAAAAACAAGAGAAGAACATTAAACCAATTTCAAGTGTACTGCTGGAGAAGAATTTTACAAGAGTTTTGCATAAAAAGGAGGGAAAAAAACAAGTCTTATTTCCTCTAGATGCCAAAAGGACAAATCTGAGATTATCATACTTTGGACTATAAGGAGACAACATGAGTCATTGGAAGATACAATAATCCTTAATAAAATGGAAGGCAATAGGAGAAAGTCTATTCTCATGTAATACATGTGAATAGACTTGATCAAAAAGTCCACAGCCTCAAGCTTGCAAGAACTGAGCAGGTTTGTTAGTAAAGGATTTTTAAATTTTCTCATTCATAGAGTTTTCACAAGTCAAAGTTGATCTAGTAGCAATCAACAACAGAAATAACCACTTAGGAGTAATTCATTTCTAAGTGGCTTTGAGTGAGGCTTGAACTGTTTTATTCTTCTTTGAAGTTGTTGTTAATGTTTTAACTGCAAAGATGGGAAGAGTGGAATGAATATTTTGAGCTGAGTCTGTATTCTGTCTGGTATTCTTAATTTGTAACAGGCTATTTACTCAGAGCCCCCAGTGGCACAGTGGGTTAAACCACTGAGCTGCTGAACTTGTGATCAAAAGGTCACAGATTCAAATCCAGGGAGCGGGGTGAACTCCCGCTGTTAGGCCCAGCTTCTACCAACCTAGCAGTTTGAAAACATGCAAATGTGAGTAGATCAATAGGTACCACTCTGGCGGGAAGGTGATGGGGCTCCATGCAGTCATGCTGGCCACAAGACCTTGGAGGTGTCTATGGACAATGCCTGCTTTTCAGCTTAGAAATGGAGATTAGCACCAACCCCCAGAGTTGGACATAGCTGGATTTAATGTCAGGGGAAAACCTTTACCTTTACCTATTTACTCATCACCATCTAGTCTAGTACTCTTTTTACAGAAGCAACCAAGTACTGACAGGGTTGAAGAATGTAAACATTTCTTGATGGTATTTTTGAGTTGTGGGTGTTATCATATTTCAGACTTTGTTCATGTTCCCCTTATCAAGACTGTAGAGTTATTTCCTAGTTATCATTGCATGCTTAATTCCTTAGTCATATAATGCCAGTGCTCGCTTAATGTTTCCTTCTTCCTTCTTGTGACAGAGTCATAGTCCATCTCAACCACTCCTAGTTGGCACCCTTTAAATGTTTGGACTACAGTTTCAATCAGCCCCACCTAGACTGGTCAATAGCTAGAAATGATGTCAGCTGCAATATAGAACATCTTAGCAGCTTAAGGAAGGGTTAAGTTGACCTTTTCATCTATCATGTGTGGTGGGTACTGCTCTGTGGCTGTGGACTTGTAGTTACCTACAACTGCAGCTCACCTTGAATGAACCAAGTGTTTCTCTAAAAGCTCAATGTTTAGATATCATAGGTGTAACCAACAAATAAATTGAATTGTACCATCACAAGTTTGTCTTCCAGTTAATAATCATATCGCATAGCATGAAGTAGCATGACAAAGTAATGGTACAGATCATTCATTTCACTTTTTTTTTGTACATGTATTTATTAATTTTGTTTATATCATGTCTCCTACCTATGAATGGACTTAAGGTGGCTTCCAATTAAATCATACAAATGCCATTAAAACACAGCAGAAATGAAAGCATTAAAATTTAATGGAGAAAAACTGTAATAAAGGGAAATCACAAGTTCGTGTTGGGGAATATAAGTAGCTTGGATCTATGATGGAGCCTTACAGCATTGGTGTCACTACTGTTGGTGTCTATTATTGGTGTGGATTGCATCCCTATCCCTGCACACTCTCCCAATGATGTCACTAGACATGGGGCAAGTCACACTTACTCAGACCAAAACCATGACAAATTTCCTCATAATACAACTTGCCAAGAAAACTATAAGAGGGTCTCCATAACTCAGAATTTACTTGAACAACAACACAATAATAGACTATGAGAGTATTTTGTATATGAATGAAAACATAGAGTAGAAAGGGAAAAAATGAGGCTACATCTCCCTATGTAGCTGGGGTAGAGGGAGGGGGCAGAAGGGGTAGCTTTGAGACTGGCAGGCTACAGAAGAACCTGGCAATTGTAGACCATGGCCACTACCATTACTGTAGGTTAGAGCCTCCCTGGAATGCCAGCTGTTTATCATTGCTTTAATGTGGTGCAGAAAATGTAAGCTGTTGAATCAAACATTAAAAAAAAATTAAACTTTGAAAGCAACTCACTATCTCTGGACTGATAGCAAGAATCCCCAACTCCTACCCTTGTTGCTGTTACTGGCTTTGAAACCGATAACTCCTAGCCCTACTAAACAGGACATTGCAATCATAGCTATTTTGTCTCCCCCTCTTTAACAGATAGTCTGCCGGTCTATTGAGAAAGAAGGTCAGTGCACAAACATGGGAATCTTACACAAAAAGAAGATGATGATGTCTAGACATTGCGTAAAATTCCTTGAATGATTGCACAATATAAGCCTGGCCTGGAAACATCTCAAATCTCCTGTAAAATTTGGCAAAAACATTTGTTATTCTTTGAAGACTCTGGATAGCTAACAGACAGTTTGTAGATGTCCAGTCCAGTCTAGATACCTGGAATTCAGCATTGTACTGTATCCTGGTATAGTGGAAAAACAGAACCTTGAAAATTTGAGTTGTATAAATTGTGTTATAGCACTTCCAAGTTGTTTCTGATTTATGGTAACCCTAAAGCATTGAGTTTTCTTAGAAAGATTTATTCAGGGGATGTTTGTCTTAGCAAATCTCAGAGGCTGAGAGAATGTAACTTGCCCAGCATCACTCAGTGGATCCTCATGGATTCAAACCCTGGCCTCCATAGTCCAATGTTTAAACCACTGCACTATGCTGGCTCTCTGGACAAAATACATATCATATGAAATAAAATTAACTCCAGATTTTATAACAAAATCATATCAGTCACTGTTCCTCCCACTTTGTAGTTTGAGACAAAATCCAAGGAACAAAAGTGGCAAAAGAAACCATTCTTACCTTTCCCACAAGCAGTGCATTCGTTCAGTTCACTTCCTGTGCATTCCATACAGGTTGGATGGCAAGAATGACACTGATTTTGAAATCCAAATTTCCCTTTAGGGCACTGAAGAACACAGCGTCCATCATCCAAAAATCTATCACAAAAGAAAAGGGGGGAGTATAAAAGTATGATCAAGTAACAGAGTAATACCTTCCTTTTAAAAAACAAGCTCAAACAAATCCTGAGAGCTGCTGCCATGTTCCAGTTATATTCCTTATTCTTTGCACTTTGTTCTTTCTACGTGGAATGTGTTAATGACATTTGGCAGGATAAAGGGTAGGGCCAGTTAAGCTTTGAACTCCAACTTTATATTGCTTTCTGGAGTCAGATCTTCACAGTCATCATTGATCTCATGCCTATCAGTTTCCACGCTCCAGCTACTGAAGTATTCCAAGATCCTACTAAGAATAAGTGAAAAATCGATACGTTTTCACAGACCTTACCAGTAAAAAGAAAATCCCTATGTGTTTGCTGTAAGATTCTATTGTAGTTCATACTCAGGTTTGTAGTGTCAATCCCAATAAATCCTAGTACTTATTTAATAGTAGATAAGAACTTTTGAAAGGATTTTGCTTTTGGCAGGTAAATAACAAATCAGCTTCTGCACCAATATGTTTGTGCCTGATGAACTTGTAATTCCAAATGCTGAGCCTCATTTCAATTGTTTTCCATTTCATTATTTGACTGTAATGAGGAAGGGAGGAAATGTTAAGTATGCTGACATATGATGTTTACCAGCAGCCGCTTTAGGTTCCATCTGCTGTCTAAGGGCCTCATCACACTAGAATTGTGGGGTTTGTAGTTTAGGGAGGAGCCTTTAACAGCCTCACTAAACTACAAACCCTAGAATTCTGCAGGAGGCAGAACCAGATTTAAAGTGGATCGAAGCAGTCAGGCATGTAGCCGGGGGGGGGGGGGGGGCTTGAGGGGCTTCAGCCCCCCCACCCCGAAATTCTCATGGTGGTTCGCGAAAAGGCCTTACTGGTGCATTATTTAAACTGTTATGTTTATTCATATCATGATCTGATCACCATACTCAATATATCCCATATGCATGGGGGTATTGGGGTAATGATACAAAAGGTTTGCTAGGCTAGACCCTCTTTCACTCAGACTCAGCCCCCCCCCGAAACTCAGCCCTGAACCCCCCTGAAAAAAATTCAGCCCCCCCCCCGAAACGAAATCCTGGCTACGGGCCTGGAAGCAGTGCCTGTGAGCACAAAGAGGAGACATCAATCTTCTCATCCTTTATAGCTTGCCTATGCCCTGAAAGTCTTTAAAAATTGTCCCAGAAATGTGAAAAGCACAGAGTAGATTTTCAATAGTGGAAAAGGCTAGTGGGTGTGGCCAGAAATCACAACTGTCAGAACTATGAGTGTCATATTGCATTTGGGACTAACCAAGTTACTAAATATATTTATCCATATGAAGGCAGTCCCCATGTTATGAATGAGTTAACATTTCCTTCAACCAGGAGGATGCTACAGACAGTGGCTGCCAGCCCCTTTTGGGTAAGTTTTGGGGGTCAAATTGGGGGCTTCGGGGTAACTTCATGCCATCCCAATTTGACTCAGGGTGGCATGTAGCCATCCCCCCTGCAGGGAAAGCCAGGGCTTAGGGATAGGGTGAGGACTAGAACCTGCACAGAAGTGGGTTATTTTTTCTGTCTGTTTCTGTGCGGGTTTTAACACTGTCCTAGGATAGCATAAAGAAAGGTTAACACCCCGTGATGTTTGTTTTGCTGACTGTGCCCCTGTTCTGAAGATTTCACCTCATTTTCTGTCCCTGTGAGAATTGGATTTTGAAAAATTTGGCTTGTTTTGGCAACAAGAATTGGTGATAAAGTTTCAGTGGGGACACCTTTCCCCCATGATAACTTTTTCAGGAGTGAATTTGCCTTCCTAGGTATAGCTTTCTCTCACTTCTGCTGTCTCACCCTGTTCTTAACTGGGGGTCATGTGTAAATCAGATGTTTGTAACTGAGGCGACTGCCTGTAGTGCTATTGTTATATCCCAGATCATCTGCTTCAAAGATAACCTGAAGCATTGTGAACAGTGTGAGGTGGTTTTTCTATAGTTTTCCAGTATCCTAAACTAAACACTAAAAAGATGGCAAAGTTGGAGATATGAAGTTCTTCAGTATCTTGGAGCTTCAGGGCAATGTGAACCACAAGATTGGGTTCAATTTAGCCCAATCCACTGTCCAGATTGACACTGCCACCATTATCCTCTCCCAGCTTCTACTCTAAGCAAGCCATAGGGCTCCATCTGAACTGGCCATTGCGGGCACCACCTTCTTGTTAGTTGTATAGGTGCCCATTCTGACCTCAGCAAAGATACCTGCATTGCCAGGTGCATGGACAGAGCTCCATGGTCAGCAAAGACCAATGGTGGTGGAAAGACAAAAGTGGTGACAGCTCAGTGAAGTGGATGCAGGCTGTCTGGAAAATGGACCCAGAATCAGCACAAATGTGCTGGCTCTAGTGCTGTCCCTGGGCAGATTTACCACTTGACTAAACTGCCCAGTAAAGAAGACACATGGGTTTTACTTTGGGAAGAAGAGTAACTTATTAAGGATCTACTGGTTTTCTATATAGGCCTCTTGCAATGTCTGCCAACTGATCATGAAGGTGTTTAAAATAGATTGAACCTCTTTCTTGGTGGTCTAATCTTGCTTCCCCATTTCAAACTAGAGTGTAAAAGTAGCCATGTAGTCAGCATTACAGAGGCCATACCTCGTTTTTGTAAAAGAGCCTTCAGAAATTCAAAATTTGGATTAATGTTAAAGAGCTATAAGAAGCAACAAGAATTTGATGTTTTCTGTCCATAATTAGACTTTGAATAGACACACATCGTATTTCTGTTTAAATTATTACAACTCTATATTTAATATGTACATATAAATTAGCATATGCAAATTTTGTGCAGTCTGTGCATAAAAAGAGAAGGAAACAATGAAGGAGGAGGAAATAGCCTTGTGAGTATTATATGATACCTGTATGTATTTGGGGGGGGGGGTGCATTCCAAGGCCCCATATGGATACCTGGACCCAGAATAATAGTGAATAATATATTTTGTGATTATATTTGAACTGGAAGCCAGGTTTTTCTGAGAAAGATCTGGAAATTCCTATTTAATGTAGTGGTGTATAGACATACAACATACAGAGTAGTTCTTGTGTCTGAAATCTACATATGATTTTTTTAAAACATAGAAATATGCAAAGCAATGCATTGTTAAACTGAGAAATATGTAACAACTAAATACAAGAAAGGGGGAAAGGGAGAGTTTAAAAAAATCAAGTTGGCAACAGTTTCACAAGTATTGTTTTAATAAATGAGATGAATATTCTGATGGCAGAAAGCACACAACATAAAACATTCCTTTATGGAGGCATTTTTGCAGAATTTTTCAGAGTGAAAAGACCCACAAGACCTGTTTCATACTTTGTAGAAGTAAAAAAAAAAAAGAATCTTGCAGTAAGAACTCATTTCTTCAGAATGTCAGGCTGAATTACTTCAGTGTCATTCATTACTTGCTTTAGTCCAAGCCACTTAAAGGCCATGGAGATATAGAGGACTCTAGAGATTCTAAGTCAGAAGAGGGTCTGTTTCCAATAAATTAAAAATACCATGCTTCAGAGCACTTTCTTTCTATTATCCTTGTGTCTTATCTGTTTCTGAAATAGAATTGGCTACATTTCACTTTTTTTTGTGCTTCCATTACTGTTTTGCTAATTTTTCTACAATTCTAATTGCTACATATATATATTATATATATGATCATAGAATCAAAGAATCATATGAGTTGGAAGAGACCTTGTGGGCCATCCAGTCCAACCTCCTGCCAAGGAAGCAGGAAAATAGTAATCAAAACACCCTGACAGATGGCCATCCAGCCTTGGTTTAAAAGCTTCCAAAGAAGGAGCCTCCACCACACTCCGGGGCTGAGAGTTCCACTGCTGAACAGCTCTCACAGTCAGAAAGTTCTTCCTAATGTTCAGATGGAATCTCCTTTCTTGTAGTTTGAAGCCATTGTTCCACATCCTAGTCTTCAGGGCAGCAGAAAACAAGCTTGCCCCCTCCTCCCTATGACTTCCTCTCACATATTTATACATGGCTATCATGTCTCCTCTCAGCCTTCTCTTCTTCAGGCTAAACATGACCATCTCTTTAAGCCACTCCTCATAGGGTTTGTTCTCCCGACCCTTGATCATTTCAGTCACCCTCCTCTGGACACATTCCAGCTTGTCAAAATCTCCCTTCAATTGCGGTGCCCAGAATTGGATAAAGTATTCCAGGTGTGGTCCAGGGGTAGAATGATTTCCCTGGATCTAGACACTATACTCCTATTGATGCAGGCCAAAATCCCATTGGCTTCCCCCCTGCAAGACATTGTTGGCTCATGTTTAACTTGTTGTCCACAAGGACTCCAAGATCTTTTTCACACTTACTGCTCTCATGTCCCTCATTCTGTATCTTTGCATTTCATTTTTTCTGCCTAAGGGGAGTATCTTACATTTGTCCCCACTGAACTTCCATTTTGTTACTTTTGGCCCATCTCTCTAATCTGTTAAGATCATTTTGAATGTTTAAACTGGATTTTATGACAGTGTAGACTAATATAATCCAGTTCAAAACAGATAATCTGCATTTCATATGGATGTGTAGATGGGGCCTGAACGGGTTGTTTCAAGTCTTGAAAAATGGTAAAGTAGTCATATGATTGCTTCCTTACATGAAAAAAAAATATCCTTCAGTTTACAATTCACTTGAAAGTAAAATTGGGGTTAGGGACCACAGTACTAATCAATAAGGATTCACTTACCTTGTGGAAACACAGCCAAGACAGTCCTTTGAAGATGGTCCTGTGCACTTAGAACAGGAGGCTTCACAGAACTGACAGTGGTCAAGAGGATCAATATATTCTCCTGGCAAATAAGACCTTACATATTACTTAATTTCCTTTGATATGGTACAGATAGAGCCTTTTATATAAAGCAAGTGATCAAATTAAGATGTGAGAAAAGCCATACTGGATCAAAAGTCTTAGTCTTGCATCCAGTCTTGCACCCAGTCTTGCACCCAGTTGATAACCAGGTGCTCTTGGGAATCCCACAAGTAAGACATGACTATCCACCTCATCATATGGCTCAAATTAAGCGTCCTAGGATGCTTAGAGCCAGCTTTGGGGATGGAGCCCCACTGCAACCACCAGGCCACATCATCTTTGGCTCTGACTCCAACATCCCCCAATATCCCCCAACCATTGCAAGAGGGAGCTGCGTGCAGGACAACAGCTTTGCACTGCAGCTCCCTTTTTCATCCCTGAAGGCCAGGTGAAGCAGGTTGCTTTGCCTGGCCTTTAAGATAAGTTCATATATAAAGTTGTATCCTCTCATGCATATTCACAAACGTTTTGTTATACAAAATGATAGAAGCCATGCTTCTGTTTATCCAGATGTTTGGGGGTAAACTGTCCTGAAGCTGTCTGGAAAGCCCTTTTGGCATCCAGACAGTTGGCTGGGCCAAGGGTGCATTGGGGACATCACTGCCATGTCACCAGCTAGAAGTAGCTCACTCTCAGAGGCTTGCTGGTGACATCACTTTTGTGGTCACAAATATAGAAGTGGTGTCACTAGCAATCTTCTGTGAGGGATCTGCTTGTGGCCAACAACACAACAGTGGGTCTGTAGGACATGTGGACGCTGGATTGAAGTAAATCCAACCCAATGCTGCTGTCTACAATTCCAAAACACTGGATGTGCCAGGTTAACAGCTGGAGGGATCACTTTTGCTGTGAATCCAGCTGTGTGTTGTATGGACTCCGTGCAGCAGCTGAGAGATGAGTCCACACATTATTTGGCTCATATGGACATGACCAGACTTACCCTCCATGAAATTGAACACTTCCCTTTTAAAGCCATTGCTAAATGAAGCAAACATTCACTCATGGTCTTAATTACTGGGGTTGCAGCTTTCCTTGGGAAGTTAACTTATTCAAATGTTGTTTGATGACTCTGCTATAGGGTCCAAAAACAATTTATTTCCAGATTTCTTCAACAAAACATCCCCACTATAATTTTTCTGGTTAATGCCCTTTGAACTGAACGCTAGTGTTTCAAAAGCTGTAACTACAGAATTAAAATAATAAGAACAAAAGACAACCCACACATATAGTTTGAATCCTTTGATTGAATCTGTTATCAGGAAGAAACATTAATAACCAAGTTTATGTTTGATTATGTTGTACATATCATGTACTGGATAGTCTTCCAATGTAATGCACTAATCTATTTTGAAGGGATAAAAATGTCCCAGTGCAAGACACCTGAAAATAAATCTGAAACATTTTAAAAAGGGGGTAAAGAATAATAATAATTTAGAAGATGCAGGTTTGCTTGTTATGATGATACTTCAAGTAGTCCCCTAGGAAGACGGTGTATATTCGATTTTAGTATGACTGACCACTGTAGTTTTAAATATATGTGCTTTTTTAATGTTCTGTTGTAATGTGTATTTTGATATTTTACCGATTGTATGTGTTTTTATGGTTGGAAACTGGGCTGAGTCCCTCTTATGAGGTGAGAAGCTCGGTATATAAAACTTTGAAATAAATAAATAAATAAATAAATATAACTTTCCCATTATCTTGGAAGTACAAAAACAAGATGTATGATATAATTAATCCTTATTTTTTTCTGAAGAAGAGAAAAAGCAACAACAGTATTTTCAAGCAGAAATAGGAAGGGAAAACCTAACAGCACAGAGGATAACTAAGGGCTCTTCCACACAGACACATAATCCAGAATATCAAAGCAAATAATCCACAAAATTTGCTTAGAAATGTGTGTGTGACTGGTGGGGGTGAGAATCAGGGCCTTCTCAGTGGTGACCCCTCGGCTCTGAAACTCCCTCCCTAGTGGGATTAAATCAGCCCCTTCCTTCCTGTCATTTTGCAAACAAGTGAAAATTTGGCTTTGGGAGAAAGCTAGGTTCTTGTGGGTTTTTTCGGGCTATAGAGCCATGTTCTAGAGGCATTGGGAGAAAGCATTTGGTCCAGTATAATTATCTGTGCAATGCAGTTGGAATTGGTTTTGGATTGATTAATATGATTATCTGATTATCTGGCTTTGGATATATGCACGATGCTCATCTAATGTTTATATATGTTGTTTTAATGTTGGTTTAAATTGTTGTTCAGGCATGGAATAATGGCACTTATGTAAGCCGCCCTGAGTTCCTCCTTCGGGGTGAGAAGGGTAGAATATAAATGTTGTAAATGAATGAATGAATAAATAAATAATCTGAGGCCCCTTCCACACAGCTGAATAAAATCCCACATGATCTGCTTTGAACTGGAATATATGGCTGTGTGGACTCAGATAACCCAGTTCAAAGCAGATATTGTGGGATTTTCTGCCTTGATATTCTGGGTCATGTGGTTGTGTGGAAGGGCCCTAAGAGAACCCTTAGATTATTAAATGCATCGTGGAAAATGATGAGTAATGTTAACAAACTGCATTTAAAAGTTTTGAAAACCTGCTACATAGCATATATGACTACGCATCAGTTCAGGGGCAAAACAAAAAAAGCAGTTTGTGATAAAATGCATTGCAGTGTTATTTGCATAGGATAATGAAAATGATGAGTAGGACAAATGAAAAGGCAAGAGAAATTCAGAGAAAACATATGTCCAAGTAGAAAGAGATAGGACATTTTGGAGGCAGGAGCATTGGTGCATAAAAGAGAGACACAAATTTCACTAGATAAATAGATAACATTAAAATAATAGTTGCTTATAGAAGGGTCTGGAAATGAAGACCTATATCGACATGCCTTGATTTATATACAGAAGTATAATACATTTTGGGCATATTTGTCCATCTCAGCATAAATAAGAGTGGTACTACATAGCTAAATTGCTGCGAAGTGGGGAGGGAGATGACATATCTCTGGAGGAATTCTGCACACAGAGTTGGCTCCAAACTCTTTTGGAATTCTCTGTAACAAATGAACTGTTTTGCACTTGGGGGATTTGCAAACACACACTGATTTCCTGGAATCATTAGCACATTTCTGTCTGGCAGAGAGTGAAAATACTGAGACTTTCCGTCCTGCCTTTTGTCTGTAAGCAATATTTTTATTCCGTTCCCTTTCCTTATGTTCTGCACAGGATGGCTAACAAACATTAATGAAGAAATGAACAGGCTTATCTCATTTCTGTCTGATGTAGTAGAGACATGTGACACAGCAAGTCGCAGTTCCTTCCTACAATACCCAGGATATATCTCAGGAGAATAGAGGAGACAGAAATCAATGTCGCCCTTGACAAAGGATAAATTGAGTATGTCAGGCTGTCCCCATTATGCTATTTTTCTGCCTTATAAAGGCATAGCTGGATCTATAGAACCAGATACAAAGATGGATTACTTTTATCTCCACGTTTACTGCTTTTGTCAGTTCCAATTAGTGAGACACACTTTCCTTTACATAGGCCAGGTTTAAATATAATGATCTCAAACTAAAAGCTTTAGGTTTTAAAAAAAGCCACGAGCAAGCTAAGCGCCTGTTTATTCTTCATTTGGTCTTATCGCCTTCCATAGCTTCAGTGTTGATATCGTAGGTTCTCTAAATTATGCTCTGTGAATGAGTTTCTTGGTTACAAGCCAGGATGTAAAACCAAGCATATGCCAAAACTGGACACACAAACAAGAATGGCAACCAAAGTTGTGTGTGTGTTTGTGTGTGTAGAGGTGATGTTAAACAGATGAGCACTGGATTCATAGTGGATATATACTCACCCAATGACACTCAATGTTTATACTATCTATTATAATAATACATGACTTACCATGTGGCTAACTGATGACTCCTCTCAATCTATCTGATGTTCCCCCATGTCACCGTCTCCCCCTCCCCCCCTTTTTTGGCAGATCTTGCACAACCAGGCATGTTTGCGAACTCATCCCAATGGAGAAATATCAAAACATATTTGTATTCCTACAAAGCTACTTAATGCTGATTTTTTAAAAAATAAAATAAAAAGGAAATAATAACACTATGTAATTTTTTTTAAAAAAATGTTCTGTTCCTGGTTTGAAAGTGTTATTTCTGTTTAATTGTGCAGTGCTTACTTTTAAAGTAGTTGGTATACTCCAAAAACTTGGTTTTTATGGTTGCCACAAACTATATTGAATTGGTTGAGACTCGATTAGATATTCATTGAAAAACTATAGCAAAATGTGCTGCAGGATGTCTCGTGAAAACAAAGTTTTTGCAAGTTAATAAATGTTTTCCATGTTTTTATGATAGAGTCAATTAGGAAATGTCCTTTATAACCCAGGAAAAGAATTGTGTTACATAGTGTAATGGGAAAGTTCAGAACATTCATTTCTTTACTTAGCGTCTTTCTGTGATTGCCCCCAGAAGTGTACTGTTAGCCGTTTCGGCAAAGAGGAATCAAATGGGATGAAAAGACAGCCCCAAAACATGCCCTGAAAGACATGTCACTGGCACAGCTGCAGACAGGTGTACCATCACACACAAAGAACTGTACTACTGATGCACATGGTGAAATTAGAGATTAACAAAGTCAATTGTTTCCCATTTTACAAATGGGACTGGCAGCAGATTCTTTCTCTACAAGTGCCTAGGAGTTACTGATGAGACAAACCTTGTGTCATGTAATAAGACCCGCAGGCACCAGTAGGCAAAGAACATCAGAGATGCAGTATAAGTATGTGCAATAATATCCTCAAGATAGGTGAATTGAATATGTGGGGAAAGGGGACAGTTTAATTCAAGTGGATAGCACCTATGTATGGCGTAGGATTGTCAGGCTGAAAAATGGAAAGGGTGCTTGTGCCATTAATGGTTGTACAGAAGAAGGAATTTCAGCAGATGTGTTTTATTACCCGATGGCAAAATA